AAAAAAAAAAAGTTTCAAAGGCTATTTTTTCCGGTTTTTTGCTGTGATCAAATGTTTATTTGGTAGATAAAGACAAAAAAAACAGCATTTAATTTATGAACAGCTTCTTCATCTCTTATTTTTTTTTTATTGTTTATCACTCTTTTATCTATTAATTTTTTTTTTGGAACAAGGCTTTAAAAACTTTAAAAAAAAGAGTGTTTAAAGAGTTGAAGAAATGTGGTTTAAAGAAAGTTGAACTTTGACTGAGAAGAAATAATTTCTACTTTGCATCACCTCATTTTTTTACTTTTTATTTGTTGTTTTAAGTCTGCTTAATTAGTCCACAAACTTTTTTCATCGTTCCTCTTTTAAAAAAAGTTGATCAAAAATCATAAAACTTCGATGAATTGAAGCAAAAGCGACAAGCAAACGAAGCGGTTTGTGGTAACGGTGCATTTAGCAACTTTGTATTTATGCGTTTATAAAAAATGATAGATTATAAAAGAATAAAAAGTAAACAAAAAAAACTTTTTAAACACATTTTTTGATACAATAAGAAAAGAGAGGAATTGAAAAAGAATTGGTGTTTTTGATTTGTGGGTAACTGACTATTGCGTTACAGCTGGAAAATACGGCTGTTATGAGCAACATTTTAAAACAAAAATGCAGCCCAATATCGGCAATTTAACTGCCAATATCATTAAAGAAGCAAACAGCGGACCATTCCGTTTTTGACTGTTTCAAGGAAATATCTTTCAAAAAAATTTAAAAAATGCTGCTTTTAACTCTTTGTTATTTTTAAGGTATTAAATCTGAAATTTATATTATGCAATACGTTGTATATGTTTAATACGGTACTGGTCGAAGTTATGGGTTACGGTAGACTTTACAGGTTTGACATTGAAATTTTTTCACCACCCTCTTTCTTCACATTCAATCATTTTGTAAAACAGGAGAAAAAAATTTTAAACTGAAGTAATATATTCTTACGTTGATACAGTAAATATGAAAAAATAAAATAGCAAACAAAGAGCTTTCTCTTGGAAAATGAATGTTTAATTGGAATAAATTAATGTATAACGTTGTCGTATGGGTATTTTTGCTTTCACTTTTACGCATTGATATGGAAATGTCGAACATCAGTAAATCAGAAAAATCAGAAAAAAAAATTTTGACAAATGTTATCAAAAACCAGTGCTCGCAGCAAAATAAACAAAACAAAAACACAGAGTTACATGTTTTTTTTTATTTTTATACTCCATTTTTGGTTGAATATTAGCTAGCAAAAACTTTCTTTTTTTAATTTTAAAGTACTTTTCCAAGATAGGAACAACAGTGAAAACAGTATCAGTAATGGCATTAGTAGCAGCTACAGTAATAACAATAATAGTAACTATTAACATTGGCTTTACTGAAAGAAATAGTTATAGCAGTAACTGTGATAAGAGTATAACGATAACAGTAACAGTAATAAAATTGTAATTGCAGCAAAAAAAAGCAACGATAAATTCAGCTTTGCTTTATTTCTGCTTTTTTTTGAAATTTGTTTTGGTTAGGTAAAAATTTTAAAATTAAATCACTAAAAAGTCAAAATATCTTTATTTAACATATTTGGGTTGATTGTTGCGTCGGCGAAAGGTTTTTGTCACTGCTTCACACTGATAAAGATTTACTGACACTTAATGAATAACAGAGATCAGTTTAAAATTTAAAAGAGCAATTGAAAATATTTTTTTTAAGCAATATGATTTACTTAATAAAACAATGAAGAAAGAAAGAAAAAAAACGAAGTTTTTGGTGACTGATGTTCAAATTTTTAGCAGTCAAACCGAAACGAACAAAGTGGAACATTATGTTGGTACATTGTATCTAAGCGATCTATCAAATATGCTTTTAGCTTTACATTCGGCAACAAATTGGCTAATTTTTTATAACTGGAAAGCAAGAAGAGTAGGTTTTTTCTATAATTTTTTTTGTGCTTTTTTTTTTTTGATTTAACTCTGTTTTTTTCTACAGTTATTGTCAAAAAATAATAAACAGTAAACTTTAGGCTAATCCAAGTTTAAGCAGTACATTAACAACACGTTCTAATGCCTTTTTGATCGATCCAAAAAATGCTGAACAACTGCTAAGCAGGTTTACACCACAAAAACTACGAATTGGTACCGAAGTAATTGG